CATCATGAGACAATAAATGTTCACTTCTTATGATTATGAGGACCACGCACTTCTGTTTCTTAATCTTCTACATATATACACTCAGTCTTGTCAGATCTTGTATCCTAATTTAAGGTTTGGGGAGTAAAGTCACTTTTCTGTTGGAGAATAATAAACAAAGATGGTTTGGCTGGAGACTTGAAACAGGCCATGTCTCCATACTCTAGCAACGCTCTAAGACACAGACCTGGGAAAGGCACTTGAGAGACCTGGAAATCCAGATTAAAGCAATCCTAGCTCACACCTGCAGAGCCCTGTTCTTAGGTCAGACAGTCCATTACGGAGTCTGTTAGGAAGGACAGATGCTGTCACTCAATAAATATATGTTGAATAAAGATGGTTTTAGACTCTTATCTTCTCTTTCCCCAAAATCCTTAGCACCTCCAGAAGTTTCTAAATGAACTTGTTTATCAGGACTGCTACCTCTCCCAAGTACACACCCTGTGTATACATATACCACCCATGTGGAGCTGTGTAGACGTCAGTAACTATGAACACTACAGATAATAGCAATAATGGCAGCTAAGACTTCTCTACTGCTAACTGTGCCAGGCACCGTTTTAAGCACTTTACATGGAATGACTCACTAGGTCCTATGAAGTTGGTATTGATTTTCCTGATTCTCAGGAAGTGGTAGAGCCAGGATGCAAACTTATACACACTGGCTCCAAGTCTGCACCCTGAACTACCACTCTCTGCCACCTCCTTACGGGGGCTAACTCAGACAAAGGGCAGCCCTTTCCATTCTCCTTGTCTGGGTGTGGGTGCTTCATGGTGAATCAGGAATTTCAGGACTGTTCTGATTTTTACCCATGTCTGGCGGTGATATACAAATTCCCTCCCCTCAACCAAAATGCAGTAGTACGCCACTGTTGGTCTTAGCATTTAACTCTGGTCTTCTCCTGAGAGCACCCAGTTATCCCTCATCAAGGACTATAAGAGTCAATGACGTAGTTACTACAGCTTGCCTCATACCCATCCTAAGGCATGAGGGCTAACTCAAAATTATTTATTCACAGAGAGCTACTCCATGCGAAAAGCTAACCTATCATCTAAATGAAACAGGATTGTTTTTTTTTTTTTTAATAAAAGTAAAAAATAGCAAAACACATATATATTAAACAAAGTAGTATTTTAAAGTCCTTTCAGCTGACTTTATTTATATCTTGGTTACTTTTAATAACCAACAATTTTTTTATCACACTATGGCTCCTCCCAAGAGTTCTTCCTTTATGCTTCCATAGATATATTTCCCAGACACCAGGAAAA